TAGGGGTTTAGGGCTGATGATGTAGGATTACAGTTCAGCTTGTAGTTTTTAGGCCCACAACCCCCACACCTTGATTTGTAATAATCCTACATCATCAGCCCTAAACCCCTAAACCCCTAAACCCCTGCACCCTAAACCCCTAAACCCTATAGACCCTAAACCCTAAACCCCTAGGGTTTGGGGTGTCTATAGGGTTCCCTACCAACCTGACTCGACTCCGACTCCCAACCAAGAATGCCAAACCCCGAAGCGTCTCTGAAAACAGGCTTAGGGTTTCGGGGTTTAGGGTTTAGGGCTTAGGGTTTCGGGGTTTAGGGTTTAGGGCAGTAAGTGACGAGCTTAAAAGAACACGTTAAAATCCTGAAGTCCTGATGCCTGCAAGCCCTACATCTAAAACCAACCCTGACCCCTAACAGCCCCCACACTACCAACTGCGAATAGAGCAAGCGCAAAACCTGAGCCTTCTCAGGAAGAGCGAGATGGAATGCTATCCTCCTTGTAGGAACTCTCATAGACCTTTGGTGGACCCGCACAGCCACCCTTGCACGAACCCCTAAACCCTGAACCCTAAAACCCTGAAGCCCTAAACCCTGAACCCTAAAATCCCGGAAGCCCTAAACCCTGAACCCTAAAATCACGGAAGCCCTAAACCCTGAACCCTAAAACCCTGAACCCCTAAACCCTGAACCCTAAAATCCCGGAAGCCCTAAACCCTGAACCCTAAAATCCCGGAAGCCCTAAACCCTATAGACCCCTGATCTCCCCGAGGTTGACGGCATAGCCCCTCGGAAGGCCCGGAAGCGTAAGCAAGGCCTGGCGAGGGTTTAGGGTTTAGAGGTTTTATGGGTTTAGGGGTTTAGGGATTAGGGTCTTTAGGGTTTAGGGTTTAGGGTTTTAGGGTTTAGAGGTTTAGGGTTTAGGGTTTAAGACCTCAGCATGTCTTTGGTGATATCTTGGCTCGTGTTCGTGCGCAGACCCCTCCCCTGTGGGAGCGGTCACCAGAGGAGGTGAAGAGCTTCTTGGAATCGCAGCGAGAGCATGTGTACAAGGATACCACCGAAGCGTTTTGCTATAGGCACATGGAGTTACTGTTTCTAGGGTTTGGTGCTGCAGGTAAGCTTTGGGGGCTAAACTTGGCAACAGTATTGCCAACGTCCAAGTGGAGAGAAACCCAAGATTCAGGGGGAGACCTCTTGAGCCGTGATAATTGGAAGAGGGTTTTGGGGGGTGGGTCGCAAGGGAATAATGTCGCGCATGATAGAGGTTGCCTAAACCCTAAACCCTAAACCCGCATGTTAGTTTTAGGACATATCGGAGCTGTAAGTAGGCGATAGAACACGGTCTTATGCGGCACCACCATACTGCCAGCAGCTCCGGTATGTGGGCACTTGGGCTCTTAAGAAACCTCAGACCTTGTTGTGCTTGTATTGTGACAACTATGACAATTGCGAGCTATGAATTTCTGACTGTGCTTGTTTTGACACGATGATACGCACAACATGCCAGCAGCTGTTTCGGAGCAACTTTTGCAAGTGAGCTTAGTGCTTGGGTCTCCGGAAGGCACAGACCAATCGAATTGTTCGTCGGCTCATGGCTTGTAGTAGTTATTGAGCTGGAATCTGAAGACATGCAGACCACAAGACACGGAGATCCCAACTTCCCATGAATTTAAGGATACGGTATCCCCTCAAATCCTTCAGGGAATCACTTGTTGGTTTTGGTTTAGGGCTTATGGTTGAGCAGGTCAGGTATTGGGCTCTCTGCGGAGTCCAGCTTCCGTGACGCCATGTCTTTGTCCTTCTGTCCGTTTCCGCACAGCACGCGAGATCAAGCTGCATGGCAATCCTTAGACTCGTCGAGGGCTAGCCCTACAAAGGTCCATGTACTTATATCGGGCCACTACTTGGACGCCCGGGGGGGACTTAGTAAGTCGGTTATAGGTAAGGTTATAATTGGGGTATCTCCATGAGTTATCACTCTACTTATAACTTCCCTAAACCCTAAACCCTAAACCCTCTTAATAACATACTTACTAAGTCCCCTGGGCCTCCAAGTAGAGCTCAAGAGAGCGAAGGCTGGACTGAGTGTCGTACGGGTTCAGGGTTAGGGTTTAAAGGGTTTAGGGTTTAGGAGCTTGGAGCTTAGAGTTTTGGGGATTTTAGGGTTCAGAGTTTAGGGTTTAGAGTTTAAGGTGTAGGGTTCATAACGGTTTAGCGGTAACATACTTTAGTAAATAACAAGGAAGCCTCGACATCGTAGGGTTTCCGGGGGGGGGTAGGGCACGGAGCCCTGACTTGCACCTGTCTGAATGCGATAGTTGGGGTTTCATTTTCTGGGCCATTGAAGAGTATATTTAAGGGTTTAGGTACGGTTTAGGGTTCAGGGTTTAGGGAGGATCTAGGATTTAGGGAGGTGTAGGTCTTAGGGCCCAAACAGCCGCAAATCAGGAATTGATGTGTCACGGTGTTCGGGACACACCCTCGGTTTTATTCGCCTTATAACCCTAAACCCGAAACCCTCTGATCACTCGATGGTGAGCTGTGGTTCCTTGGATTCTCGTTCTTTAGAGGCCCTATGACTGTGGGTAGTGGTGATTGTCCAAGAGCTCCATGCCTGGTAGGCCTTTGGGACATGTTTGATGTTCCCTCGTCATGCTTTAGGGTTTTAGGTTTAGGGGTTAGGTGCTTAAGAGGATCTCCTCTACGAAGATTTCTCCAGAGGCTAAAGGGCCAAGGAAGCATTGGTTTTATGGCCTCTTCTCATTCTTTGGACACTTTAACATTAAAAAGCCTCCACCGCCACCCTCAACACTCTCGATGTTATCTCTCGCATCCTCCGACTCCCTCAAACCTGAAGCCCCGAAACGAAGAAAAAACAATTCTTTTCCTTAATATAGAGCCCGTGGCGAAGACTGAAAACCCTAAACCTTGAACCCCAAACCTTGAACCCTAAACCCTAAACCTTGAACCCTAAGCCCTAAACCTTAAATCTAGTGTTCGAACCCTTCGAAGTCCCACCATATAAAGAACCCTAAACCCTAAAACCCTAAAACCCTAAACCCTCAACCCCCTATAAGACCTTTCGGTAACCCTTCCAGAGGCCTAAGCTGGTCCTAAACCCTCAGGGAAAGGAGCCCCTTGGAGATGCCTTACGAAGCCGGGTGCCAGTTGTTGATGGCCTTTATGGGTTAAGGTTTAGGGTTTGGGGTTTAGGGTTTGGGGTTGATAGGATTTAGGAAAATGCGGGGCTTGGGGTACAAAATAAACTCCCAGCTACAAGTAATTCTGTGGACGGTTGAAGTCGACACCTGAATCCCGTCGGGTCAAGGTATCTGGTAGTCATATACTCTGCCAAACACTCACCTACAAGACTTCTATCCTAAACTCAACTGTCCAATTTAGTAGGTACTTTTGGAGCGTTAAACCCTCTTCAAATCCCTACGAATCCCTCATAGATCCCTTTATGGAATCCTTCTGCGCACCTGATATTTGGGTCCTTTGCACCTTAGAAGAACGAGCGACCCAGGTTTGGCTCGCGTTGGGCATCGGCCTAGGGACGATCGTTGCAAGACGCTTCTTTGACAAGCAGGCGCGAGGGTTTACATATGTCCCAAAAAGATACCTTTTTTGGGTTCATTATTGTGCCGTGTGTATAGGTTTAGGTCTATGTACGGATTTGGGTTCAGAGTGTAGGGTTCAAAGGTAGGATTTAGAGGTTAGGGTGCGGGGTGTAGAGGCTAACCCTAAACCTCTGAACCCCTAAGCCCTAAACCCCTAAACCCTAGGGTTTACGGTCTGGGGTCTAGGGTTTATGTCTGGTCTGGGTCCGGGGTTGACGGAGGGGTCTCGGGCTGGGGCTCGAGACTTTAGGGGTTGAGGGTTTAGGGGTTGAGGGTTTAGGGGCTTAGGGTTGAGGGTTTAGGGGTTTAGAGGTTTGGGGGTTTAGGTTTAGGGTTCGGAGTATACCTGCACTCCTAAGCCAGAAAGAACTTGAGCATCTACCTGTACCCACCAAAACCTACTTTGTTGTAGTTTCTGCATATAAACCCTTTGAGGGAATTAACAAGGACCCTACAAAAAAGTAGATTCTGGTGGTTAAGGTACCTGTACGGCAATGCCAGGCGAAGAGCTCCAAGGCCCACGTCCTGCAGGTCCTCTGGCAGGCCCGTGCCGGGGGGGGTCAGTAGTCCCTGGCCCTAACCCCTGAGACCAGGGTTTAGGGTTGAGGGTTGAGGATTTAGGGTTGAGAGTTTAGGGTTGAGGGTTTAGGGTTTAGGGTTTAGGGGTTTAGGGTTGAGGGTCTAGGGTTTAGCTCTAGTCTGGAATAGAAACTCAAGGCTACGATAGTGGTAATAGTAAAACATCTTGGCCATAGGGTATCCCCCCATGCCAGTAGTGAAGAAAGAACACATACGTGCCATTTCTTCTGCATGAGTTTCCAGATTTAAGAAGAATTGTCACGGCCCATTGTATCAAATTTTAACATATCATATACTTAAGTCATAGTACCGGGTTTACAACAACGAATACTGGCAACAAACGTCGTAACATACCCCTAGGTTGGGTCCTAGGTGCTGGCTGCGCCATCATGGAGGGTAGTATTCGTGGTTTAAGAGGGTTCTACAGGGTGAGGAGGATGGGACTGACAGGTATCAGTGTGGAGGGTCTTTGGGCTTGGGACGTTTGCAGGGCTAAGGGGTTAAGAACTTCCGTTTCCTGGAACTCCTGATCCGCAATCCGATGCAATCCCCTAAATCCTAAACCCCTAAACCCTATAAACCCTATAAGCCCTACAATAAATCCGAAATCTTTTGGTGCTCTAATACCGCTTCCATCCGACTCTACCTCAGACCACTCACCTAACTAGGACTCACCCTCTGGCAGGTCCCAAGTAACAGTTGCTGAAATCATGGGTTACGGGGTTATGTTTAGGAGTATAGGGTTATATATTTTATATGGGTAGGAACCTACTATTCAGGTAGCTGGAGCGCTATAGGGAAAACTAAGTTATGCAGCCAGGTTCCAGGTCCCAAGTAGAATAGTCAGTTGAGGGGCAGTCCTGAGCACGCTTCTATCCAGTTTTCCTCCGTGAAGCAGCTGAAGCGCTTCCAAGAACAGTGGGAGCGCGAGGCCAGTTGGGATAGGGGTCGGGTCTTTACATGTTCGTAATCTATGGCTTGGAAAATCTTGGATCGATTGGGTCGGAGCCTGTCGGAGCTGCTTGGGAAAGCTTGAAGCTTTGGGGGTTTTGGATTCGGACACGAAGGCAGGAATTAGGGCGATGCTCCAAGCTTCATGAAATTAGGTTCCCGAAGGGTCCTGGGTACGTACCATGACAGGGGATACTTTCCCAACTAATAAGAGTATATTTCCTACAGTAGAGACCCTACATTCTGCTATATAGGTGCTTAAGAACCCCTTAAAGGGACCCTAAACCCTAAACCCTTAGAAGTAATCCTCAAAGGAACCCATAGCAGGTGTACTGAGGATCCTTTGGGCTTGTCTTCGATGCAAAGGGCTGGTGGGATGTTCGAGATTTTCGGCGGTTTAGGGTTTAGGGTTTAGGGTGTAGGGTTTAGGGTAACACAACATGCGAACAAAGAATCACCAGACGGCTCATAGAAAGCAAGGTTTAGGGGTTTAGGGTTTGGGGCTTAGGGCATGTCCGCAAGGCTGTGGTTGCCGCTAACACGGATGCCAATTGCCTGCTCAAGCCTTAGAATCATCTCGGGTCAAGATTCAAGAGGTTGTGGTGGGGTTCGGGGTTTGGCCTAGATCTGGCACACCCACGGTGGTATATGCGCATGTACGC